CGTGGTGTGGTTTAAAATATTTTTATAACCAGTTTGCCAATATTCAAAAGTTTGTTTGTTATTTCATAACTTAATTTATATCTTCAGGTGTTTTTTTTTAATTTTTAGAAAATATAACATTTATTCATTATAACGTAAAAACACTCATTTAATGATAAATCTATGCTTTAAAATAAATACACACGTCTGAAACAAGATCATTTTAATATTGTTTTATTTTTTGCTGACTTAATATTTCTAATTCTAAGGGCTGCAAATGAAACTAAAAATTATAATATACAGGTAGACGGGTCCCAAAAACCACATGATTTTTCTTTTGTCATATTTTTTGTACAAAGTAAAAAACTTAACTTTTTTTTTCTTTTTTATATTCTTTTAAAGAGTAAAAGTTCTTCCCAGGGGTTAAATTTTTTTTTTTTACTTTTTTTTAATGTAAAGTTTCGCTATATTTTAGTATGGGACCTCTAAAACCACATGACTTAAATCGTGTGTAACTTTTTTGAAATTAGTTTTAACTTTCCCATATTTTGAATAAGCTTGTTATAATAAATTCCCATTCATATAGTATTTTGATTGCAAACTTATATTTTATGAAAGTACCTGAGACGCTACAAAAACCGCATGGTTGGGACCCCAAAAACCGTATGAGTTATTTTAGTTTTGACAAATATCTAAGTAATATTACAAAAATTCAAGATTTAGAGTAGATTTGTAGTAGTTGTAGCTATCGTTTTGGTTATACCAAATTTATAAAATGATTTTGTTTTACGCTCTTGCGTAGAGGATAGTTTTAGTTAAGTTTTTGTGATTTTCGATTTTTTGTTTTTAAGGAAATAAATAAGCATGAGTAACAGCAGCAAAAAGTTCAAAACTCGCTACCATTATTTCTATACAATAATGTTTTTTCTACCATTATTTCTATACAATAATGTAATATAGAGGGACATAGCATAATCATCTTTGCTTTTCAGCTGATCAATCTGAAAATGTGTCATTACGAGAGTCTTTCTTGACTTACAACAAGAATGATGGGATTGCTGATGGTAGTGATTTCGCGGGTTATCCGCTTACAGTTCCCGTCAATTTGCGGTTAACAGACTATTCGATAAATTTCGGTAAAATTCAGTAAAATAAACTTTTTTTGCGTGAGTTCTCAAAACATCTTGTTGCGGGAAAGATAATATAAAGATTATTTGCTAACACAAAAATACCGCCAAATCTGCAAGTAAATAAATTCTATTGGTTCATTAAACACGCTGGCTATGAATTAAAGTTCCACAATATTCCGAAAAAACTTTTAAAAAATTTCAATATTACAACATTAACTTGCATTTAAATTATTGTTGTAATTGCTATAAAAAATATACTATCAAACAAACTTTTATTATTATTTTATTAATTATATATATATATATATATATATATATATATATATATATATATATATATATATATATATATATATATATATATATATATATATATATATATGACCATTCGTAAGTGATTTTTGTGTTTTCCTATTATTGCAAATAATGTAAAACTTGATATATTTTGACATAATATAATCATCTTTTTTTTTGTAGTTGATCAATCTGAATACACATGTTTGACTGAATCTGTAGCTGAGACTATAACCGCTGAAAATCTGCCTATTGGTGAGATATTTTGTCATATTTCGCTATTAAGATATATATTATGATTATTATGTACCTGAATGTATGCATTTGAGCTGTATTGTAGTATGATTGAAAAATGCAATATTAAAATTGATAGTAAAAATCAATAAAAGTTGAGTAATTTTTTACTTTAAATAATATTATCGTATAATGTAATGAATAAAGCAATTCGTTTAACTGCTTAAGTAGTTTAACAATTTTTTTGGGTTTTTTCTTTATAAAATCAAGACTTCCCAGATAACACACCCTATTGGGTAAATATTGGGACCCAATTCGTACGGCAATTGGGTCCAACTAGGTCATCCCATTGGTATCCCAACGGTTTTTAGCATTAGATTCTGGATGGGAACCAATCGGTCAACTTATTTTGGAAACAACAATTAGACTGTATTATTATAAACTATAATATATATATATATATATATATATATATATATATATATATATATATATATATATATATATATATATATATATATATATATATATATAAATAAATGTAAAGGTAAGCGTTTGAGTTTGATAATCTTTTTTTTAATAAATAAAACTACAAAAATAAATTAAACAATATCTATTTATAACAAAAATAAATTTTAAGTTTAATATGCTTTTTGTGTATAAATCATTTATCAAATAAATCATTTATCAAAAAAAAAAACTGTAGCTAAATTGGTGGATGTTGCGTTTCTTTTCGGCCGCCTTTTCCTCTATCACGAGCATTACTGAACCACAACTTTAAGTCATTCTCAAGGTTCTCTTGTGAACAAACCTTAGTTGCAAAGTTTTGCTTTACGGCGACTAAAAATATAATGACAATTACTTCAACTAATAAACAGTATTGGAAACCTGTAGTATATATATATATATATATATATATATATATATATATATATATATATATATATATATATATATATATATATATATATATACAGTGGTGGCTCAAAAAGTTAGAGCCACCTCGAAATTTAGACAATTTTTGAGTTTCGACTGTGAAAATGATTAAAATACATACGGATGTCCAGTTTTTGTCATTTCGCATTGTTAATTAGTTTGTTTTAAACATATTTTTACAATGACAACACTATTGAGCGGTTTAAAGTGAAGTTAGTTGCATTATTGCAGAAGATGTCACATTTTAGCACGTGTTGTACTGGGCGATAGTTGTGTTTTTATTTGTTGATTTTATATTTTTACACCAAAACTTGTTGATTTTACTATTCAACACTTATTATATATTCTATTTACACGTTATCATTATTTTACAACTTTTTTATCATATTTAGGTAAATTTTGCAATTTTTAAAAAAATTGGTGTTTTTAAGGAATGGGCAAAGAGAAAGATATTTCTCCCACAAAACTAGGGCTTATTCAAGAATATTTGTCGAGAGGAAATCATTCCAACAGGCAAATTGCCAAGTGTGTGAATGTTTCCAGAGCAACAGTCGATAGGATTAAAAGAAAACTGGACAATCACTAAAATTGAAAAAAGAAAAAATTTTGGGCGAAATCGAATTACAACGCCTCGCACCGAAAGAAAAATAAGGGATATTGTAATAGAAAATAGGAGAAAATCGAAAAAAGTGCTTAAGGAAATCATAAACAATGAAGGTATAACAATATCCCTTGCAACACTTCGGAGAAGAATGGCGGAGCAGGGGTTTAAGGCCTGTAGACCAGCCAAAAAACCAAGGCTCACCCAGGCAATGAAGGATAAACGTTTCCAATAGGCTAAAAATCATCGCCATTTTACTACTGATGATTGGGAAAGAGTAAGTATTCAGTTTCTCTTCATAAACACATTAAAATTTAAACGAACTTCATATTAAAAAAAGAATATAAGTATTTCATCAAAAATATTAACCCAATTTTGAAAATTTTAGGTTTGCTTCTCAGATGAATCCACGTTGGAAATTCTAATGGATAAAACTAATTTCGGCCGAAGGACAGGTGAAATGTTCAATGAAGATTGTTTTGTGGAGAGGGTGAAGCACCCGCTAAATATTATAGTCTGGTCAGTCATTAGTAGCCAGGGTACTGGAAGGTTATACGTTGTAAAAAATACAATGCGGCAGGACCAGTTCATCCAAGTCTTGAAGGAAAGAATGATTCCTCAAGCGATGGAGTGGTATCCGAATGGGAACTTTACCTTCCAGCACATAAGGCAAAAACTGTAACAAAGTTTTTAGTGGCTGAAAAAATCCATGTTTTACCCTGGCCAGGAAACTCGCCCGACCTAAATCCCATAGAAAATTTATGGGAATTGTTAAAGAGGGATATAAGTAAAAATCTTATAACAAATAAAAGAGATTTGATTGAAAAATTAATAAATGTTTGGCACCACAGCGAGGAAATAAAAAAAATTTGTCATAACCTCATCAAAAGTATGACCAGAAGAGTTGAAGCCGTAATTGCTGCAAAAGGTGGCCACACTAAGTATTAGTGATTTTGTGTGCAATATTTTGTATATCTTATTTATTTTTCCTAAATATACGTTACACTTCTATATTTTTGTCATTTACTATTATTTATATCCTATATTCCCAAAATAAATAGTGGTAAATTTAACTCATTACAAAATATAGGGAAAATCAGCTTCAGAATATGAAAATTTGTATAAACATTGGGTGGCTCTAATTTTTTGAGCCACCACTGAATATATATATATATATATATATATATATATATATATATATATATATATATATATATATATATATATATATATATATATATATATATATATATATATATATATAAAAATATATATATAAAAATATATATATATATATATATATATATATATATACATATATATATACATATATATATACATATATATATATATATATATATATATATATATATATATATATATATATATATATATATATATATATATATATATACACACACACAAACAATTGCTAGTAGTTAGTAGACCTCCAAAAAAAAATGTTACTTACCAAAAAGTAACAGAGACATTATCAACTTGTTAAACCCACGTTTGCCTTGACGTAATACACTTGTTCAACTGTATTGTTTTGCCAAAGCTGAGTCAAACAGCAACTTCATATTTCGTTTAACGAAATCACCTAAATCACTTCCCCCATTTTCGATAAAAACTTTTGTCTAAATAACAACCAATATATTTCAAATTTCAACATTTTACCAACATTTTACAAATAATCAGCTAAGAACCAAATCGCTGTATGTCTTTCCTGTTTATTATCAAAAAATACTCAACTAAATCTAGTCATAAGAATAATCGAACTTTCAGTAAAATTTAAATAATTAGTCTGACTTTCTGGCAGAATAACTCTCAAACACAAATAAATGGAGGTATGCTCTTATGCTTACAAAATCTTAAAGCAGAACATAAATCTAAAAATGAAACATATATAATAAAAAAAGAACCAAATTTTTTGAACTTATTCGTCTTTCAGCAATACTTCAGCATTATCAACCTCAGAAAATGAATGGAATGGTAAAGTAAGACCGGCAGGTAGTTGTTGTATAGTAATTCCGGAATCTACACTGCTGTTTTTGCAGAGAAATTATCATTGCAGAATGAAACTTTTGAGTTTGCTTAACCTCTTCCCATGATGCAAGAATATTACTTAAAAGTTTCATAACAACATTATTTGATGGGGTTTGACCTAAAATAATAATAAAATGTTGTATTAATAACTTAAGTATTTCCTTATAACTGTTATTTCAAAATAAAAACAGGGTTAATGCATAATTAATAATTAGAAATCTTAGAATTATATACATAAGGTGTCTGCCAGGATATTAATGCAAATGTCAATGAAATTTTCCTGATTCTTAACCTGTTTTCCTTGATTTGCATTTCAGTTATATTATCAGTGTATTATTCAGTTTAATCCAGCAGAGACCTTTTTTCCAATTTATATTGGCTATACGTGCATAATTATAATAATAATAACAATAATAGTAATAGAAAAATATATATAAACCTGAAAAGCTTGTTGACATTGTCAAGTTACCCACATCTTCTGGTAACAAAATATTCTCTAACCTAGAACTACAAGGTTCTTCTTGATCTAAAAGTATAACAAAATACAATAGTTAAATAGAATAGTGAATATATGTTATAAAATTTGTTGCAGATGTTGCTTCACTTGTTATAAATAAAATTTAACCTGTTGCACTTTGCTTGCTTATACATAAAGATCGTTGCTGTTGCGAACGATTATTTTTAAACGTTAACATATTGACAAGACTGCCCATTGAAGCTTTTTAAAAAAGAGGAGACGAAGGCGGAGGGGAGGACAAAGGTGAATTTGTGAGAACACCTTTTTTTTCCCTTTGCTAAATTTTAATATCAATAAATTATTTCAAAAAATCATCCTTATTCTATAAAATGCAAATAGTAATATTATTGTAGTTGTTAATAACTCAACTGATTTATTGTTGTATGACTTTCGTCTTCTGAAGATTCAGAATGGTAGTCATTTTCATTTTTGTCATCAAGATTCTCACCATACCTGTATGGTCTATGAACAATAAGAACATTTAAAAAATCTAAATTAAAATACATAAACATAAGATAAGCTTACCTGCTCCTCTTTCGTTTGCCACCCTTATCACTATCTATATTAGATAAAAATTGTGCATCAATAGACTTTTGACGAGCTTCTAACTCATTTTAGAAGACTTTATTAAATTCAATCAAATTAATAACTTATTATATAAATTAAAATAATTATTTTGTTAAATTTACTTTCTTAAAATATAAATACACTTTAAATTTAAAGCATCAAATTTAAAATCTAAAGGTTTTACCTGCAGTGCTAAGGATTCTAGCATGATATATAATCCAATCTGTTTGTGGATCAGTACCACCCTTCTGTTTAGCTTGTGATATTATAAGCACATTTTTAAAAGTCGGATAATAAAATTGCATCTGAATTTTATTTTTTATCAGATGCCTAATATCTGCAACATCAACTTTTTTAACAAGCCATTTCATTGGCAGATAATCTGTTTCATTTTTGTCTTCATAAATTACAATAGCATACATTGTGTTTCAGAACTTAAGTGAAAAATAATGCTAATGTCTTAAGTGAAAAATAATGCTATAAAAAAAATTTCTTGGCTAACTTTATTATTTAGAAAATCTTGATATATATATATATATATATATATATCAAGATAATATATATATATATATATATATATATATATATATATATATATATATATATATATATATATATATATATTTGATTTTATTAAAAAAGCAGTGTATAACTATTTTTAAACATTTTGATGCAAAAGTATATTAACAATGTTTCGCTGTCCTATTGTGGTCAGCGTCATCAGGTAATAATAAAACGTTACAAAATAACATAAAAATAAACCATTTTTAAAATTTGCTTCACTAATTGAATACAAGGTGCATGAGGACTGCGAACCAATTTTTTAACCTTCCTAAATAACTTTCATATTTAAATGATGAACAACTATCTAGTACATCAAATTGTTTAGCATCATCTGCTAAGTGTATTATCGAATGTACGTTGTAAACAACTTGATCTTTACCATAAATATCAGGAAAAATCTGAAGAAATGGTCTAAGTTCAGTTGCTTTCCATTGTTTAAATTCTGATATTGCACGAGGTTTACAAGAAAATTCTCTTGATATTTATGGATGAATCATTATTAACTTGTTTGATATTTCAGAAACTATAGATTGCGATAACTTACAGGTGCATGGTCCATGTAGCCACAAATAATAAGTCGCCTTGCAACGCCTAAACAAACTAAATGCATGACAGACTGAGACAAGTCTACCAACTTCCTAGTATTTCACTTCTTCAAAAAATTACATCAAAAATAAATTCTTCTTTTGACGATTTTGAAAACATCAGTGAGATTTTTAAAAAAGCAAAAAACAGTTATAAAGAAAATGTATTTTATTAATAGATGAAGTCTACGTAAAACCTTATCTTACATATTGCTCTGGGTCTTTATTAGGAAAAGCTGTAAACAAATCTGATTCATTATCATCAACTGTTTTAAGTTTTATGATGGTTTCAATTTGTGGTTTATATTTATGTCGTATGTTGCCAGTATTCAAACCAGTATTTGTGGTTTCATATTTATGTCGTATGTTGCCAGTATTCGAACTTAATGCTGATTTTTTATTTGAGCAGGCAAATCATTTGATTGATTGTATTTATAAATCTGATAGAGAGTTAATCGCTATCATTTGTGATAACAATCGTATCAACCAGTCTTTTTACTCTAAGTTTACATGTAGGGAACCATGGAAAACAGAAAGTAATATATATTTACTTTATGACTTTGTCCATTTAATAAAGTCAGTGCGAAACGGCTAACTGAGAAAACACAAACACTAAAGTTTGAAGGTGATGGTGAATTTAAATCAGCTTAGTGGTCTGATTTAAAACATTTATATGAAACTGAAAAAGGAAGTTTAGCTATACTTTCAAAACTTAACGATGTAGCGGTAGCACCAAAACCCATTAAAAGACAAAAAGTATCTACTTGTTTCCGCATATTTTGTGAAGAAACATTAGCTGCGCTCAAGACATGTTCTAACAAAGCTAATTCAGATGGTACCATACGATTTATTGAAATTATATTAAAGTTTTGGAAAATTGTAAATGTTAAAGGACCATATGCAGATATGTTTTCGCAATGATGGTAGACTGTTATATTTTCAGAAAATGATGATGAACTTTTTTGAGCAAAATTGCTTGTATAGCGCAGAAAATGATCAGTAGTCAAGGACAAAGACAGTGTCAGCTCACACGTGATACAGGGACAGCAATTTGGCGTACATGTTCAGGAATGATTGCTCTTGTCAAGTTAACTCTGGATTTTGATACGTGATACTTGGTAAATTTACAACAGACCCTTTAGAAAAAATGTTTGTGAAACTTCGACAAGGGTCTGGTGGGATAAACACACAGCAAATTTTAGAAAAAGTCAGAATATTTTGCAAGTTTTAATTTTGCAAGTGGGTATAAATATAGATGAATTTGGAAAGAATAAAGTAGTTCATGATTGTGAAAAGTGTAAGTATTTGTTAGATGGCGATTCGAAAAGTGTTTTTCATAAATTACCTGAACTAGAAGAAAAGCTGGATATAAATTAAAAAAGCCCTAGTTTACATTTACAAAAACTGTTACAAAAACTGAAACAGGTAGTTACAAAAACTGAAACAGGCAAAGAAACAAAATTTAATTTTGAAAACTATGGGGACTATGTTAATGAGATTAATTGTGGAGGTCTCAACATACCGTTCGACAATGCCTGTCAATGGACCATGTTTTGTTATATCATGTTTCATCCTCTTACTGAAAAAGTATGTCGAAAAGCATTTTGTAATATATTTATGCCAATATCTGACTTTTATAGTTTCAGTATGAAAAAGAAATCTGGAGTAGTTTTGTGTAATATTTTGTTTAATAACTATAGTATTTTATATAGTCCAAGATCATCAAAAGAACCAAAACAAAAACTTTTAAAGTTGTCAAAGTAAATATAATTTTTATATTTTTCATATTTGTATTTGTATTTAATTTAATGTTTTTTTTATGAACATATTGTTTATTAGGCTCATTTTATTTCCCCCCCTCCTTTTCAAAGTGCCCGTTTCTTCTAGACTCATTTTTTCTCAATGAATCTTTAAGATTTATTTAATTAAAAATAGTTGTTTAATAAGATTTTAAGCTGATTACTTTTAATTTAAGGAAAACTTTTTTAAATTATGCATTTTATCTATTTTGTGGCAAAATTTATCTATTTTGTAGCTTATCTAATTTGATGTTAATAAAACATTTACTTCACAGATATTTATTGCTAAGTAAGGCTTTATAAACTTGTTTTTTACTAAAGCAATGATAAATCGGTGTTTTCCCAATCGAAAAGACTTATTGAATATGTTTAATAATTATAAGATATAAACACCTACCCAGTGAGAACGATGTACGCGGGCCGCTATCAGAACTCTTGCAGCACACACGCTGGCCCGGCGTCGGCAAACCACGACGTCGCCTCGAAGGCTTGCACATCGGTTATTTGACGGTCCGCAGACGGCAAGCCGATATAAGCGGGATATAGGTGTAACATTGGTCCGCTAACAGCAAGCCGATGTAGGTTTAACAATGGTTTGCTGCTGGCTAGCCGCCATAAGTCTATCAGCTTCCCGATTGAAATTTACACACACAAACACAGTAATTTTTGGGATTACGTTAACTAATATTCTCAATGCAGATAATCTGCATCAGATTATGCAACATGAAGATTCTTTATATTTTTTTAAATTTGAGTTTCAAGCCGGTAATGGTTCGCAGTAGGTTAGCTTTAGGCACGCCACCTTAGGCTTGCCAGGTCTATTCTATTCAAGACCCATCAGTCAGCGTCGGCGTGCAGCTAACGGGTCTTTATTGCTTTTTTCACTCAGTAAAAATTTATTTGAATAAACTAAGTATTCAAAAAGAATGAAATATGCAATGAAAAACTCAAAACAATAAACTAAACTTCTTTATTTCGCTTAGAAACCATATAATGTATTCATAAACTATTAGATATAAAAAATATAGTTAGATACATATAATTGTTATTTAAACTTAAGAATTATATTTTCTCAAAAACTCAAAGAAGATTCTCTTTCGAGCGTTACATATTGTATTTGTTCGCCAGTGGCATTACTGTGTTTTTCATTTGTCTTCCTATTGACTGATCTCATTTTTCTTTCCCCATTCCTGTCTGCGGCTCCTCTTAAAAAACGCATGACTTCAACTTGAAACTCGCTTTCGGTTACTGATTTGGTTGGTGTATTTTTACTGATTTCTCCTGTAATTTAAACATCCTAAAATTCACAGTTAGCCCAGATTGACACTAATTAGACAAAATAAATCGTCTATATATAATAATATAATAATAAATATTACTATATATAGGAATGTTTATTTATATATATACTAATTAAAATTAATTTTTCTAATGATTTCAATACACGTTATACATTAGTTACTCACAAAAATTACTTACTCTGCAGCGCTAAACAACAACTAAGTTTGCGAAAAGCTCTTTTAGTAAAAATGTTTTCTTCAACTCGAGTCTGCCCAACTGTTCCACTCCAGTTAAACTTTCGTTGTAGGTCGTTGGTTAATAATGTGTTGATAGCCCTTTCTACAATTCTCTAAGCGATTGGCCACCTTTGCTAGCAAGAGCAATCACCTATATTTCAACAAATTAATTGTATGTAATTAAAATGGTGTCACTTGGCATATGAATTAAATAAGAAAAATAATTTTATATAATAAAAAATATAATGCTTGGATTAACACTTATTTATTCAAAACACTTATTTAAACAAAACACTTACAAACCAGTTTGTTAAAAATCGACTTGTCTCGCTATCAAAATATCAAACACTCGAATCAAAATATCAAACACATCTAAATCCTTAAAGATATTAATTGGGAGATTGTATTCTTCAATCATGCTGTCATCATAATTGTTCTTACTATCCAGCAGTGTTTGAAATAGCTGGGTGTTAAGTTCAGATTGACGCTGTAAATCTTTCATTGACTGTTTCATCTCTAATTATAAAGAGACCAGTGTTTTATGCATTGTTCCTAAAACAATACAACAGTAATAGAAATATTGTAAACAAAATTCAATACTATACTAACATTTATTGTTTTATATCAGGTAAATCTCATTATCCAAGGTAAGCTACTTTCAGCACAGCTAAAGAGCTTCCCCAATATAAGATTTAACATGATAGCTAGTTTAACCACATAATCAGAACATGTTATTTTTTTCTAAGAACATGACCTGAATTAATTTTTACCTTTCAAATTGCAATCACTTATAGGAAAGTGTGGCGTGCTCATTGACAACACTGAGCATTGTGGTGGTATACCAATTAATGGAACTTGGGCAAATCCTAAAATTAAACAACCATAAAAATTACAAACATTAATTGTTTAATATGATTATGAGTTCCTCGTCTCCTAATAAGTAAATTGAATTAGTTAATACATTAGGAAGGTAACATATATTTCCAAATATATCAAGTGACCTTTCAAGCTGCTGTCACTTATGTGCCTTTGAGACAAGTGCATTGGAGACACCACTGTTTCAGTTAACAATTTTATTTGCTCTTCTAAACAATCAAAAATAGAACA